GCAGCCCCTTTACCGCCAGGGTCACGGGTATGTGGCACTGGGAGCAGTGACAAAAGCAGGCGAACGGCGGGGCGGGCACTCTCTCCCCACCGCACCTGGACATGCAGCGACTGTCCCCTGGCAGGCGACGACTCGATGCGCATGTCCCACCTGAAGGTGGGCTCCGCCGCCGACATCCCCATCAATATCTCCGAGACGGACCTCAGCCTGCTGACAGCCACGGTAGTGCCACCCTCGGGCCGGGAGGAGCCCTGTCTCCTGAAGCGACTGCGCAATGGCCACGTGGGTAAGAGGTGGAGGGGCAGGGCCTCCTGGGAAGGGGGAGGCCGCGAGGGGCGGGCCCGCCTTCCCCTGGCTGACGGCCCTGCCCTGTGCCCAGGGATCTCATTCGTGCCCAAGGAGACGGGGGAGCACCTGGTGCACGTGAAGAAGAATGGCCAGCACGTGGCAAGCAGCCCCATCCCAGTAGTGATCAGCCAGTCGGAGATCGGGGATGCCAGCCGTGTGCGGGTCTCAGGCCAGGGCCTCCACGAGGGCCACACCTTTGAGCCTGCAGAGTTTATCATCGACACCCGTGATGCAGGTAGGTGGTGGCCACCTACCAGCTGGGGGGGGGGGGACCCCCGTGCTCGGCCCCCTGGCTCAGGGCTGTCGCTTCCCAGGCTACGGCGGACTTAGCCTGTCCATCGAGGGCCCCAGCAAGGTGGACATCAACACAGAGGACCTGGAGGATGGCACGTGCAGGGTCACCTACTGCCCCACAGAGCCCGGAAACTACATCATCAACATCAAGTTCGCTGACCAGCACGTGCCTGGTGAGTGGGGCATGCACACGTTGCCCCCGTGACGGGGCCACCCTCCCTGCCACGCACCACAGCCTGCAGGCAGAAATGTAACCTGCGTGGTGCACGGGCTGTGCTCTCTTCCTGCAGGCAGCCCCTTCTCTGTGAAGGTAACAGGAGAGGGCCGGGTGAAAGAGAGCATCACACGCCGGCGACGGGCCCCCTCGGTGGCCAATGTCGGCAGTCACTGCGACCTCAGCCTGAAGATCCCTGGTAGGAGCCCTAGGGAGCCAGGGAGGGGGCCTTGGGGAGTCCTGGGTACCAGCCCCACGGGGCCCCGAGCAGAGGGGTGGGGCCCGGGATTCTTGCTCACCACGTTGTCCCCCACCTGCAGAAATTAGCATCCAGGACATGACAGCCCAGGTGACCAGCCCATCAGGCAAGAGCCATGAGGCCGAGATCGTGGAAGGGGAGAACCACACCTATTGCATCCGCTTTGTACCTGCCGAGATGGGCATGCACACAGTTAGCGTCAAGTACAAGGGCCAGCACGTGCCCGGGAGCCCCTTCCAGTTCACCGTGGGGCCCCTGGGGGAAGGGGGAGCACACAAGGTCCGCGCTGGAGGCCCTGGCCTGGAGAGGGCTGAAGCCGGAGTGCCAGGTATGCCTGCTTCCTGCCAGGCTTTTGCTCTTATGGGCTGGGGCAGGGGGTGGGGTTGAGGAAGTAGCTAGCCGCACGTCAGCCATGCTCGGAGGGGACTGAGGCCAGGACAGCAGCCCTCTGTGAGGACACACTGCTCTTTCTACAGCCGAATTTAGCATCTGGACCAGGGAAGCTGGCGCCGGGGGCCTGGCCATTGCTGTCGAGGGCCCCAGCAAGGCCGAGATCTCCTTCGAGGACCGCAAGGACGGCTCCTGCGGCGTGGCCTATGTGGTCCAGGAGCCAGGTGCTGAGGGCGTGCCCAGGGCCACGGGAGGTGGCATCGGGGTGTGGGTGTCAGTCTGGGTCTGAGCGGACGGCTCCACCTGGCTCCCGCCCTCCCCTCCGAGGTCCCAGGGCCGCCCAGGCTGTTTGTGGCGAGTGGGGGCCTCCCAGCACGCCCTCTGTGCTCTTTTCCTGCCCAGGTGACTACGAGGTCTCAGTCAAGTTCAACGAGGAGCACATCCCTGACAGCCCCTTCGTAGTACCTGTGGCTTCTCCGTCTGGCGATGCCCGCCGCCTTACTGTTTCTAGTCTTCAGGTGAGGCACCGAGAGAAACCGCCTGCCTGGGGCTCCTGGGCCCGGCCAGACCAGAGCCGTCGCACAGAGCAGGACTTGGCCCCGTGTCAAGTGACCCGCCCAGCCCAGCTCAGGGCGCCGGGCCTCTGCTCTGGCCGGGCGCAGCCCACGCTTGGGGTCGGCAGGAAACACCCCTGCCCACTGTGTGGAGTTTTTCTCGTGTCTCAGGTCTAAAGGCTTTGAACAGAAGCCTGTGCCCGTTGAGCACCAGGGCTGAGGTTTAAAGAGGGACAGCCTGCCAGGGCCCAGTGCTGCCCACAGGGCAGGGCTACCCTCCATTCCTGCCACCTGGCTGTGTGACTGCAGAGTGTGGGTCTGGGGGTGGGGGCGTGTGCCTGTAGCTTACTGCCCCTCAAGAATCAGTGGCTCTCCCTCTTTAAACCAAATCGGACGCCAGATGGGTAAGTGTAACCCCCGTGGGCCTCCCGCCGCTGGGACCCTGCTCTCCTGCACCCCAGCCACCCTGTCTAACCACGTCTGCTATGCTTCCAGGAGTCAGGGCTAAAGGTCAACCAGCCAGCCTCTTTTGCAGTCAGCCTGAACGGGGCCAAGGGGGCGATCGATGCTAAGGTGCACAGCCCCTCGGGAGCCCTGGAGGAGTGCTATGTCACAGAGATCGACCAAGGTGAGGCCCTGTCCCTGCCCGGGCCACCCACCCATCTTCCCTGGCCCTGCTGGGAGCAGCGGGCCTGCCCAGCTGGCTGGAAGCAGACTGAGAGTACAGAAGGAAGGTACAGATTCTGCAAGCAGGGCCCAAGCGCTGGGGCTCTCCCAGCCAGGCAGCCCCTCCCCTGCTCACGACCCCCGCCCGGGGGGGGGGGGGGGGGGGGGCGGCGGGTCTGCTTGGAAGCCACAGCTTCTAGGAAGGAGAACGCCTTCTGCAGGCAATATGATGCTGTCTCCTGAGGGAGAGACCCGAAGTCTAGCCACGGGGCTGGCACCTGCAGACAGGCCCAAGGCAGCCAATGTCGCCAGTCCCACAGCTAGTCGTGCCCCTGCACAGCCCCATGACCTCCGTGTCCCTGGTAACAGGCAGGGGCTGGCATCTGTGGTAACCTTTTTCCGGAGGCAGAGAGGCAAGTGCTTTGCCTGTAGATTTCCGTCCAAGTGAGCACCGACAGCAGGCTGCTTGGGCGTTTACCGCTTCAGTCCTCCGGTTTGGGGAGGCCTGTGCCATGGGGTGTGGGTGCCCGGTGTGGTCCCCAGAAGCAGCGGAGTGGGCCACGTGGACCTCCTGGACTGGTGGGCGAGGGAACCTCTTCACAGATGCCACCTGCTCGGTTTTCGGGGAGGGATGTCAGGCCCTCAGCATGCCCTTCGTCCCTCAGATAAGTATGCCGTGCGCTTTATCCCACGGGAGAACGGTGTCTACCTGATTGATGTCAAGTTCAACGGCACCCACATTCCTGGAAGCCCCTTCAAGATCCGAGTTGGGGAGCCTGGGCACGGAGGGGACCCGGGCCTGGTGTCCGCCTACGGAGCCGGCCTGGAAGGTGGTGTCACAGGTAGGTCAGTGGATGCGGTTTCCGCTGTGTGGACACCGATGCTAGGCCCCCTCCTCCAAGCTGTCAGTGACAAGAGGAGGTGTAGAGGTGATGAAGCTACGCCGGGGGGCTGGGGGGCTGGGAGTGGGGGGATGGGGAAGCAGGCCGGGCCAGATCTTCCTCACCGCCCCCCGCCAACCCCAGGGAGCCCAGCTGAGTTCATCGTGAACACGAGCAACGCGGGAGCCGGCGCCCTGTCCGTAACCATTGATGGGCCCTCCAAGGTGAAGATGGACTGCCAAGAGTGCCCTGAGGGCTACCGGGTCACCTACACCCCCATGGCACCTGGCAGCTACCTCATCTCCATCAAGTACGGTGGCCCCTACCACATCGGGGGCAGCCCCTTCAAGGCCAAAGTCACAGGTAAGCCTGGCAGCAGACTGCCAGTGCCCAACGCAACGCCTGGCACTCTGGCTACCTCTTAGCGCCCCCCCCCCCCCCACCCCCCCGCAGGTCCCCGTCTTGTCAGCAACCACAGCCTCCATGAGACATCGTCAGTGTTTGTGGACTCCCTGACGAAGACTGCCAGTGCCCCCCAGCACGGGGCCCCAGGCGCAGGTTCCACTGACGCCAGCAAGGTGCTGGCCAAGGGCCTGGGGCTGAGCAAGGCGTACGCGGGCCAAAAGAGCAGCTTCACGGTGGACTGTAGCAAAGCAGGTGGGTGCCCCGGCCCCGGCCATCACCCATGCCCTCCAGAAAGACGAGGCCAGAGATGAGATGGGATGACCAGTGCCTGGGAACATGGGAAGAAGGGAGTGGATGGGGTGGGAGTGCCTTCAAGGGCATGGTTGTCACTTCTTTTTTTGTTTTTGGTGTTTTTTTGAGAGACAGAGACAGAGCATGAGTTGGGGAGGGGCAGAGAGGGAGGGAGACACAGAATGCGAAGCAGGCTCCAGGCTCCGAGCTGTCGGCACAGAGCCCGACGCAGGGCTCGAACCCACAAACCGCGAGATCGTGACCTGAGCCGAAGTGGGCCGCCTCACCCACCGAGCCATCAGGCGCCCCCAGGGCGTGGTTGTCACTTCTGAAGCCACTTCCCATCTGCGCCTCCCCGCCATCATTTCTACCCTTCGGGAAGCTGCCTGGGGAGGATCTGGGTCTCCTGTGCTGGCAGCTCTTTAGGAAGGGCCGTCACCCCTGAACACAACAGGGTGGTGGGGGCAGGATACCAAGACAGAAAGAGGGCTCGGGGGATTCTCAGTAGGAGGGAGAGACTTGGGGTCTGGAACTGAGGCCCCTTCTCTACCAGGCAACAACATGCTGCTGGTAGGGGTGCATGGCCCCCGGACACCGTGCGAGGAAATCCTGGTGAAGCATGTGGGCAGCCGGCTCTACAGCGTCTCTTACCTGCTCAAGGACAAGGGAGAGTACACGCTGGTGGTCAAGTGGGGTGACGAGCACATCCCAGGCAGCCCCTACCGTGTCCTGGTACCCTGAGCTCTGTGCCTGTGCCAGCTGGCAGCTACCAGGATGAGAAGTGCTCCCACGCCCATCCCCCCAACCTGAGCAGCCCCCCCCCCCCGGTCTCCTTGGACCTGGAGCCCCGGCCGGCCCTGGCCGCCCCATCACTGCAGCCACCCCAGCCCTGCGTTGCACTCACCTGCCTCCACATGGGCAAAGGAGAGAGGCGAGCAGAGGTAGCCCTTTGGTGGCTCCGCCTGTCTTCTTTGGTTCTGGGAGGGGTGGGGGGGTACTATGCACGACCACCCGCTAGTTCTCTTCCCTAGCCAAGAAGAATAAAGTTCTGCTTCCATTCTCCTGAGGCTGGTTCTGGCTGTCTTGCAAGGGTGCCTGCAGGATGATCGAAGTGTGGGCGCGGGCCCACAAGTTGCTAGAGCTCCAGGCCTAGCACCGAGGGGCTCCCGCTTTCCCAGACCCGTGCCCCTCCCCCAACTGTAAGAGGCCCACTGGCAAGTCTTCTCTGCTTCCCTGGGTTCAGACCAAGGCCAGGTGAGAGACGTGTCCCACCCCCAGAAAGGGATGTGACGCTGGTGTACTTTTCCCGGGGCCGCACCAGGAACAGAGACTGTCCTAAGGGAAAGCCAGGCCATGACCAGACTACAGGAGACAAAGTACTGGATGTCGGGACCAGATAAACAGGCCTTGAAATCACAGCATTCCCTGGCCATCTCCCAGGCTTCTTGTGTCACCATCCCCCTGGATGAGGGACTGGTCATGAGAACCTCTGTCCCAAGGGATCTCGAGGCCACTCGGTGGACAGGCGGCCCCGATCAAGGAGAGGCAGACTGGCTGCAGTGTGCTGGTTCCCTGCCCCAGGCGGCCTCGCGGGGAGCTCGGAGCCCCTCGCTTAACTCCTGCACTGCCTCCCTGCCATCGCTCGCCACGTCCCACACCACAGTCTCCCGCTCTTAAAAAAAAAAAAACGGGTGCCTCGCTTCAAGTCCATGTTTTGCCGCCACCTACAAAACACGGTCACCGACGTGCCACTCATAGCCACCCCCCCTCCCTCTGAAGTCAGCCTTGTCCCTCACATGCAGGGAAGGGTTCTAAACCCAGCCAAGCCTCACCTTGCAGGCCTCCCATTACTGGCCGCTCCAGGCTCGCTGGCCATGCTCTATCTGGAAGCATGTCCAGGAACAGCAGAAGCCCAGAGCAGAGGGCACAGTTCTGATACTGTCTGATGAAAAAAGAACTGCAGCCAGGAAAGGAGGAGAGAACCAGGATGTGGCCAGCAGTGCAGCGGCAGACACGATCGGCAAAATAGAGTGAGAACAGACACTCCCTGAACTGCAGAAAAGTCGCACTACCTCCTCACTGTTCTGGAAACTGGCGGCGGCCCTGCCACCCTAGACGCCCGGTGGCCAGTCCCGGGCGACACCGCCCTCTCAAGGCAGGCCG